CAAATAAAATTTAAGCTAGAAACCAATAGCACGAGGAATGCCTGGGTCTACCCTTGATTACAACTAGCAGTGCGCTTTTTTATGAAATCACTCACCTTGAAACCAATGTCATCATTCGCCAGTTGTACAGTTTGGCATGGAACGAAAGGTATAAATTTCTGTGTTATGGCATCACTGAACTTTCGTCCAATCATATGTTTGAAATTTATGATCGTGTTCTTGAAGTTCGTGTTCACTGACTGTCGAGCGGCTACACCCATACTCCTGTTTTTAGGCGTAAAAGCAACGCAAGCCCTGAAAACGTGTAAACTGTCCAGAAGAACAAGAAGTAAGGCAAAAGGAAAGAAATAAGAAACAAGGCAAACTTACGGGGTTGCATGTAACGAGTAATCATTAGTGATTACTTCAATACCACCCTGACGAGCGATGCCGATGTAACAGTTCAAATTACCGATGTCGAAGCCGACAACAGACATGATCGCTGAAGATCGATACCGAAAATAAAAGCAAATGTGAGTGTAAAGTAGTACACAAGGTAAATGACGAAAAAGGCGGTAAGACTTCGAGTAAAACAAACACAATCATCAGAGAACAATCCTAGATATACCCTACACACGCATGTGACTAAGAAAAGTTGTGTTCGGCCCTCAACTCTAAGGTTCGATCGGTGACACCGATTACTAAAACAGTGAGTTACTCTCAAGCCTACGCCCTTCTGTGACTCTCTCCTTCTTAATGTTAAAAGAAACTACTGTCTTCGCCATCTCAATCCAACGCAGTTCACGCGGAATAGCTGGCCAGCAAGTCAACTCTACACTTGCTTTCAAAAGAATAAGATAATCTGGAAGAAAGATCAGATCATGAACTAATTCGATTTTGCCCACCGGAAAGCCCAAAACCAAAAGTTACATATCTTTTTTCGCAGTATATCCCCGTATTCAGTTGGGCGCTGCCCCAAGTATACAGCTGCACAGTCACCAAACGACCAAAAAAGATGAGAAAGAGGACCTGGGGTACTCAACATCTGACTACACCACTCACTGGCGCAATTTGCAACAAACTGAATTTGGCCGGTGTCAGACTTCGCGAATCGAGCGATTCGCAAAATCTGACACTGGCCTAATGCTTTACTAGCGCATTCGTCCTACGCTGGTACTCATTTCTTTTCCCACAATGTTTTTGCCACCTCTTTTTTTCGTAACCGACTATCCCTCTCACTGAAAAGCAATAAGTCTACAGTTGCCAACAGAAAACGACATCGATGTTAAACGTTTCACCATATGCCCAATCGTATAGGAACTTTTTTCGATAATTTACGATTTTTCGTTGAAAGTAGGCTCCCAGACAATACCTAACCATTTGGGCGCGGCCGCGGCGAACGCGGCCGAGTTGATAGGTGCCCGCGAACTCAGCACAGCACAGTTCGCGGGCACCTCGAGTGCGTTTTCAACGGTTCGCGGGCACAATCGACTCGGCCGCGTTCGCCGCGGCCGCGCCCAAATGGTTAGGTATTGTCTGGGAGCCGAAAACCTATAAAGAACAGCTAAAAGAGTCAAAGAGCAAAGTGTCCATTATGAATGTTTTCGGAGTGATCTCGAGATGACTTAGAAAAGGATACAGGCGAATGACTCGTGAATAAAAGCTTCAGATGATGTTTGTGCCTCCAAAAATGGCGAGGTCGAAAAAGAAGGCATAACTTCACACTACAATTTAAATTCCATCTTTGAGCCCCGTTCGACAAAACAACACAAAACAGATTGACAGTCAGTATCTGATGCTGTCATTATTGGGTTCAGCAAATGATGATAAGGAGCTTGCAAGCAAAAGGTGATTTTTGTCAGCGAGCAAAAAGTGATTTTTGTCACCTTTATTAACACAAATATCTCCAATGAACGTGCCCAGGGAACTTTACCGAAAGCCTACATTTAGAACTTATCGACCAATCACAAAAAGAATTCGGGAACATTGAAGGTAACAGCAATGCGGAGGCTGTGCTCGTTATTACGAAACCCCTGCGTCCCGTTGCACGCCGCAGAAAAAACTAGTCGGTGTAGTGCCCAAAGGGGCTCGACCGTTGCACTAGGTGGGTGACGGAGCACTGTAATATCGCCACCCTCCTCTTTCTTCGAACAGTCAAGACACCTCGCAAAACTGAAGAAATTTTGAAACCCTACAATGATGTGGACAGTGAAAAGGATCGCCAGAAGTTGGCAAAGCTTTCAACGTGCCAAGAATCAAACGCATCCATTTTTGAGAATGTGCCGTATAAATAACACTGTCACCACCTGCAACTGCACACTGCAGGAAAATACCGTAACCTCACGCCCGATTTCACTGGGCAGTTGCACTTATTTCACCATTTTTGGGTTGCTTCCGAATATTGGATTTTTAGTATCAAATTCATTCAGGTTCTACCTACTCAAACAGCCGTTCATAAGTACGCCAGCGTTTCCTAGGCGAACAAGATTAAGTGCGTTCCTATCGAACACCATTACGATTACGAACGTGAAATGAAAAATCCGCAAGGCAGGGAATGTAGTCAATATGTTGATAAGGAGTTAGAGCGGGTTTTTAACGAACATAAAATAGGGATATCCGTGGTTGCATCACAGCGAAGGGAAGCGCAAAACTCAGGCGCAACAAACTGCATTCCCCCCCCCCCCCCAGGCTATGGGCTATGGTAGCACCCGGCGTTAAGAGCGGATTTTACTTTCAATTGTCCATATACACGGTCACGCTATCTATATGTAACTGGACGTTCATAATAAAATAAACTTGCTTGTATAACTAGTCATTCACCCAAGCTTTACTCCTCTATTAATGGCTGCATGATCTTCAATTGCATAGTTAGCTCATGTTTTGCCTATCACGAGACCATGATCTATGCTATTACCACCAAATAAGAAAACACTTTCAAGATCTAGAAGGAGATATCCATTGAAACGACTAAATGAGTGGCTTGTTTGTGAATAAACCGCTTGAAGGTTTGGATCTACCCGAATGGCCCACATTGCCCATTTCAACTTGAACTCGGTCCTTCGAACCACGCCAATTCCTACGCTCGCCTATGTTCCTTTTTTTATTCTGAGTGTTCCAGAGTGGATCCCCCTATCATTTTTAAGACATGATTAGTGGCTCATCGAGCTGCGGTTCCCCGTATTTGAGTCATCCATTCCCGGCATCACAGCTATTCCTTCGTACCGTTCCATGTTTAACCAGTCGGTGTACTTGATCCGTCAACGCTTTAGCCTATCGTGGAACATGTCAGAATGGTCGAGTAGCCGTGCAACCCCTTCCCGTCCAAGTGTGAGTCCCGAGAATTACGCTGGACCTTGCTCACTCTTTGTTAGAAAGTGAACAATTTGACAGTTGCTCCCGACAGTAAGAAAACTAACATTAAGGATAACAAAGGATAAAGCATTTGCCGTTGATCAATCCTTTTTCGGGATGCGG